TACTAAAAATAGATCGTTACACATGAATGTAGCAGACTCATATGCAAGGTGTTTTCTCAAAAGAAAATATTACATTGCAAAATAAATTTCTGCAATTTATACGTTATATCACTTGATTTGTATTCATTAGAGTCTTTAATATATTATAAAGAGGAAAAGAATTAAAAACTTACTTTCCTCATTAAATATTGTATATAATGTACTCCACCGATTTCTATTTGATAGCATTATCATAAATATACAGATTATGAATTTAATTTAGGTGCGAAAATGCTTAGCTCTACGAGTTCGGTCTTTGAATTCGAAGTGGATCGAACAGCTCGAGAAATATTAATATAATTGATATAATATTAATATAATTGAACGCAGATGAGATGACATATAGCAGAAAGATGTGAGTTGCCGAACGATTTTCGAGGTAAAAAAGCAAACAAACGCCTCCGATTTGCAACGCATCTTTATGCTCCTGTTTTCCGACCCAAGGAAAATAGGGGATCGATTCTGGGGATCAATTTTATATCTTGAAATATGAGGTGAAAATTATAAAAGTGAGCGAATTTACTAGAATACTGATTATTTCAATACCTAATAAATTTGTTCGCTTTTTAATTTTCACCTTGTTTAAAGAATCGACCCCCAAGAGCATAAAGGTGCGTTCGGCATTGCAAATCGGAAGCATCCGTTTGCAGGGAATTTGGCGCGATAGCCAATCAACGTCTCGCTTGCTCAGAAATAACAGATATATAATTTCCAGCGCGATAAAAGTTGAACGTATGATTCTTGCACACATAACACGGCAACGCTTGCCGCGCGGCAGAAGTTGGCGCGATAGCCAATCAACATCTTGTTTGTATGGAATAGATATATAATAATAGATATATAATTTCCACCGCGTAATAAAAGTTGAACTCAATCTAATTTTTACCGCGCGATAGATAGTAGTATTATATTATTTCTAGAAATTTTGCAAGGCCAACTTAAAAACATAGAATTATGGTTAATGCGGACAATATCTGCTGCGCGGTAAGCGTTGCCGCGTTCTATGTGCAGGAGCCATAATTGTCTTAAATGCTTACCGAAAGTTATCGGCGCAACGACATCAATAACTGTCGTATAAATCAGTTACAAAATCGTGCCCCAGCTTTTTCATATAAAATATTTACGCAACGATACCGACAACTGTCAATAGGTGCGTAAAGACACTAAGCGAGCGCACCAACTTTTGCATAATGCATAAAAAAAATTAATCAATTAAAGTTCTCCATTTTGTTTCTTTCTATAAAAAATTCTTTCTATAAAAATAAAGAACTTTGATTAGTTAAATTTCTTGTTTTATGTATTACATTATGCAAGAGTCTGTGCTTCCCGCTTTACGGAATCGCGCCCCAGAGATATCTATTCTTGAGAGGAGATCTCTTCCTAGATGTCGCAATACAATATCATACGATTAAAGTCACTAGATTTCTAAAGAACCGCAAACTTACCTCCATCTTAACGCGGTCATTTTCAAACCTATGTATTTATAAACGTTTATTTAGGAAAATAAAACCGTAAAATATATAAATCAATTTTTTAATTGTAAATAATTTATTTATGAACCAAAAGAAATACTATACAAATGCTTAATTTGTATATCTTTTATTCTAACATAAGTTTTTTCGTTGTGAAGTGTTAGTGCAGAAAAGTGCAACCTGGCATTGTAAGTACTGATTATCATCAGTGATGATATTGCCTCTCCGAATATCAGTTTTCAAGTTTCAAACAAGCGAACGAGCAAGTTAACCGTAAAATGCGCAAACAGTACATATAGTAAGTGCAAACATTGTGTGAATTCTGCATATGGTGTAATTTCGCCATTTTGACGCAACTCAAAAGCCTATTGTGTACTTTAGAAATCTAGTGACTTTACATACGATATCATATGCGACAACAGAAATGATATTCTTGAATAAATGAGATATTGTATGCGAGAAAATACCGAATGATTGATATCGAAAGGGTATAATCTATGTGATATACAAGTCGCATACAAATACAGTAATAAATGCGGTTCCCGATAGAAGTGAGGTTAATGAAGTATATTTAATTTATGGATATGGGATATCGAAATTCTGTTTCGTTTCAATCCAAGGAGAATAAGAAAATCAAAATAATGTCAATTTGACATCATATTGACAAATTTACATCATTTTTGATTATGATAAAAATCTCGATCTCAGATAATCTAAGGCAGGGTTCACATCTTGATGGAAAAATGGAAAAGCGAAAGCCAATCAGAAAGATTAGCGGAAAGAAGCAAACAAGCGAAATGTATCGCCTACTACTACTGCAAGTTTCGATTGACTTCTGCTTTTTCGCTTTCCGCATTAAGGTTTGAATTCGGCCTAAGAATGACTTTATAGACGTTCACAATTAGACGCGAGCGCTTTACGCGCGGGGCGTATACTGATCGGACGCATTCACACATTTACAAAACACATTTTTTTCTTACTTTTTCTCCCTACTACATTATCTCTTTGTCTTTCACATACTTTAAATATGATAATTTTGTTAAATTATAAATTAGAGTGATGAAATTAAAATGAATATTAAATGAATAATAAACCCTTTGAATATTGGATTGTTTTTCAATCACATTGATAAAATTGTTAGAAAAATGTAATAAAAGAGCGAAATTAGATAATAATTATGTGCAATAAGCACGTAATTAAAATTATTATTGACATACAAATCAAACAATTATTTCAGTACATTAAATTCTAAGAACGTTTTTTATAATTTGATGTACCGAAAACTTACTGTTAGACTTAATTGTCAATCAATAGGCATTACACGCAATTATTGTCCAATTTCTCACTTACAAAATTTTATTTAAAGCATTATCGTACTCGTAGCATTTATTACATACTTATGAGAAGTCTTATGAGAAACGCGATTGCGCTTCTTAGAAGTCAAAGAATTGTGAATATTTAAAACAAAAACGTAAGCCAAATACACTTTAAAAGTTTATTATTATCTTACTTATAAAATTATTATTACCTTGTAAATGTTCAATGATTCCATTTTGCTCTAATTTCTTGAAATAGTCGGAGGAATAAATTTGGATGCACCATAATAGCTCGACATAACGGTTTACTGTAATTCACTTTCTTCATTCAAATATTAAATGCGTTTAAGTACATAAATGTTAATAAGTCACATGTTTTTGTGACTTGAATGAGATTCTTCTTTAATAAATTGTCACATTTTAACATATTGATACTTCGATTACGTTCACTTGATGAGGAATTTATTAACCGATTTATTAATTAATCACGGATAATTACGAACGATTGATTATTCGGCGATTGAAAATCACACGAAGGAAGAAACACGTCTGTAAGTCCGTATACAACACAATGTGTATTTACGTGCGACAAGCAACTGACTTTCTTGGTTTCTATGGGTACAGAGAGTTCAGTTCACGCAGCGCCTTAGTGATTTTTGTTTTTAGAAGTGTACTTGGCAAAGATACTCTTCGGTGATTTGCCATTACCTGCCGAGAAGAGCTACAAGCTTATGAAAATGTTTCGGTTTTGTCTAGAATCCGGGATCTCTGGTATAGCAGTCTTGTACGTTGCTTACTATATATGCTTACGTTCTTTCATTATATAAATTATAAAGTATATCAAAGCTTACAAATATTATTTGACCAATGAGTAGACAAATAGAAACTTATATAATCTTATTATATTGTATCATATTATATATTATTATATCACGTATATAATATAATGTATTTGGATAAATTTTTTACGAAGACTCTAAAATGAAAACTATTTGTATACATATATCTTTAACTTTAATTTTTCTACAAATCGCATTTCTAGTGATATATGCTTTCTAAAAGGAATTTTTTATAATAAAATCATAAAATATTTCAATAGTATTAATTCTGAAGGATAAATTTATTCGTAAAGATAGAGCATGTATGTGTGTGCCCCGAATTACAAATATTATCCACATTAATACAATAATATGGTACAGTCGCTTGGTAAGTTAATGAACTAAGTTAATCGCAGTGATTCTTTTTTTTTCGAAATCACTCTGAGTCAATTGAAATCAATTAAAAAATTACGATATGAAATTTATTAATAAAGTTCGGGCGTTGGTTTATTCTTGCGTTCACATTACAGGCATAAATATATCATCGATCACATAATTAATATTTCGATAAATCGTTTTCAGCAATTTAATTGTTTATCATCTTATCCGATGCATTAATTATATCTAAATTCAATATTATACAATCTTTTGATTTCATATTTAAAATAAATATAAAACTTAGCTAATGAAATGG